TTGAGGAAGATCAACAGGAAGATGGAGGGAGCTTGTAGGAATGCGAGGGTGTTAACGGCTTCCTATGACATAAAAGATATGTTCAGGAAGTTGCCACAGGATTCGATCGTGCGGACCGTCGACTGGTGTATGTGGTGGTATGGAAGGAAAGGAATCACGGGAGTGCACGTGCGAAGGAGAGGAAAAGGGGCAAAAAAAGATTTGTGAGTTTTGAGATTTTGATGAGCTACATTAGGTTCGATAAGGACAAAGTCCACAGCAACAACAAAAATGCATCACGTAAGCAAAAGGAGAAGAAGACAGAATGAGGGAGAAGAGAGAAGAGAAGAAAGATGAGAGAGAAGATAAGACAAAGGAGAGAAGAAAGAAAGGAAGACAGAGAAAAAGAAGAAAGGGGGGAACGCACATAGTCCCGAAATCCCAAAACGCGACCAATAGGCCGAAAAATTGATCATAAAGCACCGGCACAACATCGAAGAGTAAGCATTGTGTAGTATGGCACAGCGACCCGACGCTGCGTTTCGTCCGGCCGCCAACTGGAACTCCTCAGGGGTCTGATTAGTCTGTGCATGTTTTCTGTTGGTTCTGGCCTTAGCTCTTTGTCCGCTGGCGGTGAATTGAATTTTCTTCTTGGTAACGTCGATAGTCTCACGGTAGTACTTAAGCTGTTCTCATCTATTCGTTCGGCCTATTGGTTCGAATAGGGACCGAACGAATAGATGAGAACAGCTTAAGTACTACCGTGAGACTATCGACGTTACCAAGAAGAAAATTCAATTCACCGCCAGCGGACAAAGAGCTAAGGCCAGAACCAACAGAAAACATGCACAGACTAAAACAAAGAGCCCAAGTACAGATTGGAGATGCCGCAGCCAACTTCCCGTCCTAAAATCTCGAAGTTTCACGGCCCTTCTTACCCAAGCAAAGGTACACGAAGCTAACCCAGAGATAGACCCGGATTTAGACGAGAGAATCATGACACCAATTAGCGGCCGAGAACAGAAGAAGACAGGGTACCGCTTACTCCGCTCGCCACCTGTCTACAACCCTGGGAAAGGTATGCGAATGTCCCAAATTGACGCGGACTCTGATAGCCACCTGTACCCCAATGCGTTTCAGAAAAAAAAAATTGATCGAAAAAAACATTACGAAGAAACTAAAACAAAATAGAAACAGTCCCACAGACCCAAGTACACCATTTCGTCAAAATGGACATTTTTTATTTTTTGAACGAAATTGAAACGGAGTTTTTTGGCCGAAAACTCGTCAAAAATTTTGCTGTTCCTGAGGGTCCAGCGTTTTACAAATGCTGGACTCCCTGGCTGTACATGGACCTAGCTTGAGACCAGGCACCTCCAGGCAGGACTTCCTGGAGGTACCTGGTCTCAAGCTAGGTCCATGTACAGCCAGGGGTCCAGCGTTTTACAAACGCCAGACCCGCAGGAACAACAAGTTTTGACGAGTTTTGGGCAAAAAAACTCGGTTTCAATTTCGTTTAAAAAATAAACGATGTCCATTTTGACGAAATGGCCCCATACATGCCTCAACAAAATCTCGAAGAATACTACCAATGAACTGTAACAGCCTGTCTGCTCGCAGGCAAAAACATTAGTCCAATACCCCTAACACAGTCTTGAAACCGGCTGAGGCAAAGCCTCCACTGAAAAGACCACCCTGGCCTGTCACGTATACCACCTGATCTTCCCAGATACTCGTCAAACAACGTTGGAAGGACCGTAGTCCGGTCCCTTGAAGGTCGGAAAAGACCTCCCCACCCTGTCAGATAAGTGACCCATTCCTCCCAAATGCCCCCGAATTTCCTTGAAAAATTCCGCAGAGCATTATCAAAATAGGCGTCAGGAAAACCTCTCTTTCTGAGTTCATTCTTGAGGGTACTAAGAGAAAAGCCACCTCCATGCCAGCCATCGTGGTGTACGCTTTAGCCCTATGTAGGCAGGATCCGATCACCGCCATTTTCTGCTCCCTGCAAGAGTAAGAGTTGAAATCCTGCAGATTTTGGAAACACAACTTGTCCTCACCAAAATGCCTTCGATTCTTATGTAGGGCGACACATTGAATGCCCCATGGCCAATCAAGGACTTTCAACACACACCTCAGAAAGTCCCAACAATCACTATCACTCGTAAGTTCCAACACAAGATTAGAGTCATAACAGTGTCGAAACCTGTTCAAAATGGACTGGGTTGTTGACAGAGAATTTGGGTCCCCATCCTTATATCGCACAAAGACAGAGACATCATCTACCATTCGTATGCCACAAACTAATTTTTTGTCACATCCAAGAGACGAAAGGAAATGAAACTCGTTATAGGCACACAGAAGGCATGCCAGAGCAGGACTAGACGATTTACCCATTGGAATCCCGACCTTCTGTTGCAGCATTTTCCCACAGGCTTTGAAGAACGTACAGTCAAGGTCAAATTTGACAAAATCAACAAGGACATCAAATGGAATTGAATTCCAGCCAAGCTGTACACCCCCAAATCTCAGTTTAGCCCCTTTCCCCCTCTGCTTGACCAAAACCCCCTTGCATCCCCGAAACGCCCAGAAGTCCACAACCCATCGGACCGCTTGCATGATGGCGACGTGTGGTAAATTACAGAACATTTCTTTGATGTCACATGCTGCACTTGAAAAACACTCACCCTTCCGCAGCTCCTTGTTAACTCTCCCAACTGTGGAAGCCAGTTCGGCCATACTTTTGAGATTAAAGTTGATGGCCGGGGGTAACTCCCATAGTAGTTGATTGATGCCTTGTGCCGCCCTCTTACTCGCTCGAACCCCGCACTCTGAATGGGTGGGACAGATCGGGCGTCACTTGGCAATATCCTTATGCTTGGGTATCGAGTATGCCTGCCCCAGATTCCCAGCCCCATTCCACTTACCTAGTCGTCCGAAACCTTCGTCACGGAAGCAAGCAGCACGAGACTCAATGATCGACTTTTCGTTGTGGCAAATTACAAAGTCAGGGTGTGACGCCCAACCTCACGCCCAGCGCGACTTCCTGTTTTCGGAGTGTTAGTGGGCCTGGAAGCGCGAAGAGGGGTGTGCCAAGGATTTTTGGAAAGTGGGGGTGGAGTTCCAGGTCGGAACTGAAATCTCCTGTGTCAAGTTTCAGGGGTAGAAATGCAAGTGGTTCCTCTAGCTCAGAGTTGGGGTGGGCGTCGTTCCCAAGGCCAGGGTCGGGAAAGAGCCAGGTGCACGAACGGGGTGTTGCGGGCATCGCTGTGGGAATGCTCGTACCTCTGTCGTCCGACGCAGAACTCAGAGTCAGAGTCTGATGAGGAGGACGGGCTGGGTTCTCGACGTTCTCTCCGGGGAGGAGTCTGACGCGTGGCCTCCGTCTGTTCGTGCTCGTTGGGCTGCTGGCACTCGGGGCATGGAGGCCGGGGCATGAATCGGGATATAGAGAGAAAATTAATCGCGCTTGCAGAATTTATAGTTTGCTAATCAGCGCGCAATAGTCGGGATTGCCAGAGGAACAGGAAAGAATAGAGAAAGGAAGTGCCTACGAGTGCATGACTGGGCCGCGGCGTGGGGGACGTAGCCTCACTCAACGCTTTGCTCCAACCATGCAACGATCCGACCAATGAGATAGGAGGTAGAGTGTGCATGCAGTGACGCGGGAAGGGAATTTCAAGAACGGGGAAGATTACAGTTACACCTACGTAGTGGGGAAGGAACAAGAAGAGATTACAATTGAGATTAGAATTTAGGCACAGCGGGAACAGAGCACAGGTCCCTGTGCAACAAAGTGTGCGTGCAAGCAAGAGGCGATGTGCAGTTACGGGCAAAAATTACAACGTACCCAATTTCCTACTCTAATTAAAGTCCTAATTACGAAAAGAAATTCTGAAAGCCTGCATGGGCTCGTTCTAAATTCAAAACTCCCGAAGAAATTACCCGTCTTATTTGAAAACAAAAGAAAAGGAAAAGAAAAGCGAAAAAGACCATAGCAGAAGTTGTTCCCCCTCCGCGCTCACTAAGGCGGGGGCCTATTGTCCCAAGGTCCATAACCGCCACCGTCTCTTCCCGAAGGACCAAGGAGAAAACTTCGAAAAATCAAGAAGGAGGGGCCGCCATGCAATTTATCCCCGATTCCTCTGTGTACCCCCAATCCCGGTTGCGCAGAAGATGGCGCCTTTCAGAAAGTAGTTCGTCACAAATGTGACGCCCAGGGGGTTCCATCTTGTGCACGCTCCCACTTGCACCCACATCTCCCAAGCTCGAAGAAGAAAAAAAAAGGGAGAAGAATTACAATCCCACCCATATTATACGTGTCGTTACCGTAGGATAAGAGTGTGGACGTCATCCTTTCGACACGTCATTCGAACCGCCCTCGTTTCAAGGGTGGGGACGTCGGAAGATGGCGGGGATGGGCGGGGGAGGATCATTTGGGAGAGGCAGCAAAAAATTCGCCATCCCCATCACTTTTTCAGGGAGCTCCTAGTACCTGATGATGCGATGGATGCGGGGGAAGCGATTTCCGCCTTCAGGGAGGGAGCCAAGATAATCGGGATAGAGGGTTGAGAAGGTGCGAAACATCGCCGCTCGGAACTGCTCATGATCTGCACACACGGGGATAGTTCCCGTGATGATGCAGTAGACTTCGATGGCGTCCTGGTCTTGCCACACGGCGCTAAACAGAAGGACGTGGAGATAGAAGGAAGGAGAGACACATTGGGCGGCGGGGTGCGGATATACGTCGGCGACGAGGCGTGTGGCGTAGAATTGGTGGAAGGTTGAAGAAGGAAAAGGATTGGAGGGGAAAGAGCGCGAAGTATCGATCTGCCGGAAGGTGATGTAATCAAGGGGACGGCAGGATAGGGAACGGGGACGTAGCCCGATGTCCCGAATCGCTACGAGCTCGAACTGAGGGACGGGGGGAAGGGGAGGGGGAATAGAGAAGAGGAAGAAGGAGAGAGAGGGCCCTCTGCGTCTTCTTCTCTCTGGGCCGCCATAAGTACACGTGTCACTTCTTCGCCTGCCAACGGAGAACCTTCACTAGGTCGTACCCGGGTCCCTTGGGCTGCTCCGGATAGTGATCTCTTTGTTGCGTGGCACCTTGCCAGGCCGGTGCAGACGTGTCAATCCGTCGGCGTTCCCGTGCCTTTCCGTTTTTCGGTGGAGGATGTCGAAGTCATACTTCTGCAGCCTCACCACCCATCGCCCAATCATTCCAGTGTAGTTCGTCAGCTTTTTGAGGGTCAGCAATGGCTCGTGATCAGTTACGAGGAGGAACTTCTGCCCGTAGAGATATGGGTGGAAGTGTTGGATTCCCCAGACGACAACGCAGCATTCTCCTTGTGGCGCTGAGTCGTTCTTCCTTTCGTCCGGCACCGTCCTCGAAGCATATTCGACCACGTGCTCCTGCCCGTCTTTCCCCTTCTGAGCTAGGATAGCGGAGATAGCGTCCGACTGCCAGTCAGTAATGAATAGGAACTGGCGCTCGGGATCGGGCCAGATTAAAATAGTGGTCGAGGCCAGGGCCTCGTTTAACATGCAAAAGGCTTGCTCACACTCTGTGTCCCAGTTCAGCGGTTGATCCTTCCGCAGGAGATTTGTCAGGGGCCGAGCGATTGCCGCAAAGCCCTTGATAAACCGTAGGTAGTACGAGACCAGTCCCAGGAAGGCTCGAACCTGCGTCAATGACGTGGGCGTGGGTGCTTCTCGAACAGCCTCGACCTTCCTCGAATCCGGTCTCAAGCCTCCTCGGGTTACCACGTAGCCCAGGAACGAGATCTCGGACAAGAAAAATTCGCTTTTCTCCAATGCAATCTTGAAACCGGCGTCCCGCAGCGCGCCAAGTGTCCATTCAATATGCTGCGCGTGTCCATGGAATGATTCAGAATACACCAGAATATCATCCATGTACACGATAACGCAAAAATTGATCATGCCCTGAGTTAACCTAGTCTTGTTTACGAAGTTATGGAAAGTGACATTCATTGCCTGCTGAAAAGTCGCCGGCGCATTGCATATACCCATAGGGCATCGAACCCACTGCCACGTGCCCTCAAATAAGACAAATGCCGTCTTCGCTCGATCTTCTTCCCTCACAAGGATATGGTGGAACCCGTGCCGAATATCAAATTTACTAAAATAATTCGCACAGCCAATCGCATCCAGCAAATCATCAATCCGAGGGAGGGGGTACACATCCTTGATCGTGATGTCATTCAATTTCCAATAATCAATGTAAATGCGAATCGATCCGTTCTTTTCTGGAACTCAAACTACCGGAAAGGACCAAGGACCTGTAGCGGGCTCTATCCAACCGTTAGCCTCGAATTCCCGGATTCGCTCGAGTGCCTCCTTTCGTTCTGCCGATAAGTATCGATACGGTTTGCAATGAATCGGCGGGTGATTGCCGGTCTGAATCTCGTGTTGGATTATTAAGGATAACCCGATGTCCGCGTCATCAATGCTAATAGCACCCCGATATTCCTGTACGATCTCTGCAATAAGTTGGTGGGTCCGGTCGGGCATGTATTCTGGCACGTGCAACTCGTAAGGTCGTCCGTCTATATCGACTGTAACGTGTTTGGTACGTACTGCCTTAGAGTCCCGGGGCGGCGGGGAAGAGATGAAAGAGTTGTCCGACCGCCACGAGAACACGGTGGCTACAATCTGGGCTTCCTCCTCTCGGATGGCCAGGTGTTCTTCGGTGGTTATCCCGTCCGTGATATCCCAGGGATCCACCGATTTCTCAGCGATTCTTATCCCGACATCAAACAGCGAGGCTTCGGGGCACCCAGGGGGTTCCGGAGCCTATACTTCCGCTCCTTGACGCAACAATCGTATCTCCTTGTCTGCGGTAAGAAGCGATCGGGGAGGGGGTTCTATGACGTCGCAAAAGGACTGCTTATCTACGTATCGGGGAAGCAAGGGAGTAGCGCCCTCGTACAGGGTCCGAGGGGGTTCCGAAGAGTCGGGCATCCTTGACACCTGTACCAGGGGTTCTCCTATGATCAGAGCTCGAGTTCGTTGGACATTTTCTTCAGCTAGCACGAACGTTTTCATCGTTTTCTGTCGGACTGGGTAACGAGTTACCTTTCGTATCAACTCTTGAATCACCGGGTTTGTCTCGTCCTCGCTTTCCGAATACTTGGGGAGCGGGGACACGTGTTCTTCGCTGCTAGTCTCCGAGTCCTCTAGGCGTCCGTCCCAGGTGACTGTACGAATCGGCCCGCCCACCTCTGGGTAAGATCTATGTGGCGGGTTGGTAGTCGTGCGGAGGGTGACGCGCATGGGGACTGCGTACGGCTTACCCCCGGTGTTCTTAATAACCACCTCCCGCCGCTCAAAGTCTAGATTAGCCTGCAGGGCGTTTAAAACAGGCAGTCCGATGAGTACGTCATACGAGTTCACATTAAGAACCACCACGTCACCCAAGGCGTGGACTTTTCCCAACTTAAAAGCGACGTTTGTCATTTTTTCTACAGCTGTGATCTTCTCCTCATCGGCGGAGATCAAACGGTCTCCGTCGTTGGGTGGGATCAAATCCTTCCTTCTTCCTGCCCGTTCCACTACTCGCAGGGATATTGCCAACACTGCTGTCTCGGAATCAAGGATCGCACTGTATGGGACTCCCCAGATCTCTACGTCGCACTCCGCAGACTTCCACGGGATAGCTTTGATGCGTAGAAATGCCAGAAAATGGTCGTTTTTTTGGAGAAGTCCCAGGCGCACAGGCTCTGAGGGTCCAGGTGTATCTGGTTTTGTCTCCCTTACGGGGGCCTTCCCCTTGGCCGTTGCCAGCTTGGCGAGTGCGAATCGTTTTCGATTGGCCTTGCAATGCTGGAGCATGCGATCATTGGCATGTTCTGATATGGACAACAGGTGGCCGATCGGAAGCGGAATGCTGTGGTTTAGAGCTCGGACAATGTCCAAAACATCGATCGTTCCGATGACGAACTCAGGACTGCCGAATTCCATCTCCCCCGGGGATGGTCGCCATTCGGAAATCTCGTGCTCATCGTCCGCGGGCCGAATTGCCCCTATCATCCCAAGCCCCGGATATCCCAAGGAGAGGAATTGATCCAGTGGGATGAGCTCTACGGCTTCCTCGATTACCCCTATGTTTGGTATTGCCACGTCCGTTTTTTCTACCATGGTTCCTACCCGTCCACGCCCGTTAGCTAAGGGAGCTGCAGCTGCCGGGGCTGCCCCTATTCTTACTTGTCGCTGGGGGCAATCTCGGGCCATGTGTCTGGGTTGATGGCAGGCATAACACGTGTCAGTCCTCTGGGCCGGTCCTCCGCCAGCTCCCGCGACTACGGGAGCAGGCGCTTGGGTGACAAAAGGGTCAGCGCGAACGTTAATGGGACGCATGAAACGCATCAGCGACTCCATGTGGGCATTGTGCTCGCGCTGTTCCTTTTTGCTTTCTTGCATGAGGCTAACCAACATACGTGTAAGGTCCAGCACCGCATTCGATTCTTCTGTCTTCTCCGTCGGGGCGGGTGCCTGTGCAGCCGCCTTGGGCATCGATGGTCCTGCTCCCTGATCGAGAGGGCGCTGTAAGGCTGCCACCTGTTCCAGGTAGGTAACAGGGCCTGACACGAAGCCCATATTTTCGAACTTATGTTGCAGGGCTGCTAGTTCCATCCTTCCACGAGTTAGTTTCGTAGAGTCACCTTCTTTAGTGTGATTTTCTCCCTCGAGGAACTTCAAGCTAGCAGCGAACTTTCGCTCCATCTTTTCTGCTACGTCCATGATTTGCGTCAAGGTGAAGGTGATGGGGGAGAACTGTTTCCGTATCTTAGCCTGTATAGCTCTACTTCGAAGTCCATCTATGAAGAACTCTCTTCCTACCTTTTCGTCCCTCTGAGATTTTACAAACAATCGGTAGAACCGACTACGGTCTTCTGCAACAGACTCAAGGGGCTTTTGCACTCTGTCTTTGATCATAAAGAACGCTTCCTCTGGATGTATGTAGTCAAATCAGTGTAAGAAGTCCCTCTCAAAGGTAGGAAGGTCAGTCCACACGTAGGTGCTGAACCAGTGATGGGCGTCGCCTCCTAATCGGGCTGGGATGTTAATCCCAGCTTCATCATTATCATACTGTTGCGCTCGGAGCGTGGCAAGCCATGCTCCTGCCAGGTGGTGCGTGGGATCGAGTAAATACAGATCTGGCGGGGTTGTTGGAGCGCGGGCACGTGCGGGCTGAGGCACGGGCTGAGGCGCAAGCCCCAGGCCGCCCCCTGCCACGCCTTGTGCTTGATTGGCTGGGGCCTGATTGGCGTTTGCCTGATTAGCATTCATGTCGTCTGCTGATCCGCCCGCAGACCTGCTTCTTGTCACTACAGGTTCGCGTGTCGACGCGTTCCTCTGCGCAGACCGTCCCCATTTTGGGGTCGCCAGATCGGTTGAACTAGAGAGCCAAGCAACTTGTCAATCCCTTGTCTTAATACGTGTCGGCGCCGATACCAACCTCACGCCCAGCGCGACTTCCTGTTTTCGGAGTGTTAGTGGGCCTGGAAGCGCGAACACGGGTGTGCCAAGGATTTTTGGAAAGTGGGGGTGGAGTTCCAGGTCGGAACTGAAATCTCCTGTGTCAATTTTTAGGGGTAGAAGTGCAAGTGGTTCCTCTAGCTCAGAGTTGGGGTGGGCACCGTTCCCACGGCCGGGGCCGGGAAGGAGCCGGGTGCACGAACGGGGTGTTGCGGGCGTCGCTGTGGGAATGCTCGTACCTCTGTCGTCTGACGCAGAACTTAGAGTCAGAGTCTGATGAGGAGGACGGGCTGGGTTCTCGACGTTCTCTCTGGGGAGGAGTCTGATGCGTGGCCTCCGTCCGTTCGTGCTCGTTGGGCTGTTGGCACTCGGGGCACGGAGGCCGGGGCCTGAATCGGGATATGGAGTCCCAGGGGGTAACTAGCAATCGGTGATACGGGAGGACGATGCAATGGGGGGGAAAGTTAGTCGTGATAGCGACGAAGCCTGGGGTGATAAAGTATTGCTGGTATCTACAATCGGGATACTCAGGAATTTGGGAGTCCCGGTTGATTGCCAGCTGGAAATCGCCCCTACTTAGTCGCCCGTGTTCAGCTCGGCAGGGGTAATCAAGGTTCCACAAGTTTTGTTGCCGTCTGATCCGCTGCTGTCGGACTTGTTGTCGTAGGATCTGTTCCCTTTCCCAATATGTCCTGTACTCGGGATCTCTCAGGCTTTCGAGGTCGGTGATCCAAAAAGGAGTTTCGATCGCCATATCCGTATCAACGGGACTCACTTACACACATCATTCCTACGTGGCGGGATCGTAGCTAGCCTTTGCATGTGTGCGTGTAGATGGCAAATCCGTTGATGGATTACTGTCTTCCACGCGCGTACGAACTGGCTAGTTAGTTAAGTCCTAGGCTGCGCGTCCTAATGGCGGAGCAATCTACGGGCGTTTGGCCCGATTATGCATGCAACCTCGTTCCCAGAACAACCCCTCCCTGGTTATATACCCTTATGCATTGGAGGAAAGGGTCATCAAACATTCGAAGAACAGACATACATTCCCAACAATTCCTGTATTTTCTTGCAAGTGATTGGGCTAATCCCGTGCAGTGAGCGCACTGACCAGATCCGCGAGAACTCAGATTCGTAGATCGAAACCCGCGCTGCGACGCCGAATGCCGAAAAAGCGATGAAGTTGAAACCACGCTAGTCTACTGATCAAAACGAAATGAAAACGCGAAGACAAATTGCGAGAAAGGATGCGAGATCGTTCGACCCCATACATACATACATGCATTCCAATAAGGAGATCTGAGAAGATTCACACAGGAATCCGAAAAATGCCGCAACAAAATTGGCCAACGTTGGAATCAAAATTTTCATAGAAAGGAGGGAGGAAAAGACACTGTTCCACCATATCCCTCCTCTCTCTCTCTCTCTCTCTCTCTCTCTCTCGATGCGGGCAGTTCGTCGCCGTGCATCCCAAAGACCTCACAGAGTCGTCACCCCGCATAGCCCGAGCGTACAAGCCAGGTTCGCCCACGTGCCACAGTCCCTCGCGGCCCCACGTCAACCCCGCGCACTCAGCACCAGCTCGTCAGATCGCCCAACTCTCTACTCACCGTCTTTCTGCTCGTTAGCCGATTCTCTCGACCGTGCTAACTCCTAAGTAGATTAGAGAGAAAATTAATCGAGCTTGCAGAATTTATAGCTTGCTAATCAGCGCGCAATAGTCGGGATTGCCAGAGGAACAGGAAAGAATAGAGAAAGGAAGTGCCTACGAGTGCATGACTGGGCCGCGGCGTGGGGGACGTAGCCTCACTCCACGCTTCAATCCAACCATGCAACGATCGGGCCAATGAAATTGGAGGTAGAGTGCGCATGCAGTGACGCGGAAGGGAATTTCAAGAACGGGGAAGATTACAGTTACACCTGCGTAGCGGGGAAGGAACAAGAAGAGATTACAGTTGAGATTAGAATTTAGGCACAGCGGGAACAGAGCGCAGGTCCCTGTGCAGCAAAGCGCGCGTGCAAGCAAGAGGCGATGTGCAGTTACGGGCAAAAATTACAACGTACCCAATTTCCTACTCTAACTAAAGTCCTAATTACGAAAAGAAATTCCGAAAGCCCGCATGGGCTCGTTCTAAATTCAAAACTTCCGAAGAAATTACCCGCGCGATTATTGCGCCAAAAAGACGAACGCCTTATTTGAAAACAAAAGAAAAGGAAAAGAAAAGCGAAAAAGACCATAGCAGAAGTTGTTCCCCCTCCGCGCTCGCTAAGGCGAGGGCCTATTGTCCCAAGGTCCATAACCGCCACCATCTCTTCCCGAAGGACCAAGGAGAAAACTTCGAAAAATCAAGAAGGCGGGGCCGCCATGCAATTTATCCCCGATCCCTCTGTGTACCCCCAATCCCGGTTGCGCAGAAGATGGCGCCTTTCAGAAAGTAGTTCGTCACAAGGGTTCTTCAAAAACAATGTTTCCATACTCTGTCTATAGACCACCGGACAACATACCAGTGGTTCAATGTATTGCTAGCATTGTGATCAATGAGAACACTTTGGAAGAGACCTTCAATCCCCGAGGCACAATCATAGTAAACTGTGGTATTGTTGAAGCAAGAATCAAGTAAGCAAATCCCTATACTCTCCGGATTCAACTTTGGAAGAGACCGCACAACATCAAACGAAGCAACAATTTGACGAACCACATTCCGGCGAGAGGTGACACGAGAGGGACGTGGAACATTACGAGAATTTCGCAGAAAGGGCGGTACGAAATCAGTAGATGCTAACCTGAAACATACGTGTTCATTAATGCGACTAAACAACAACTCATTTCTGGCGCAATCACAATAGTGATCACCCCGCCTAGACACATCACAAAAATTGAACAAGATGTCACCGAGAGTTCGATTTTTCACCCATACCACCCTTAACCTCCGGGCCATCATCTCACTCATGCAGTACGGAACATCCATCTTACGTAAGGTATCATTGCACGTCTCCCTAATGGCACATTTGCTGAGACAAGCATCATAGGTTATGCGAACAACGAGACGGGTTCGAACATTAATACCAAACTGCCGCCTAATTACTCCAGACACCTAGCAGCATAACTGATAGCGAGTTTGTTTCTCCGTAAAACACCGGATCGCCGAATAGAGTCCAACCAACTTGTCCAACTCCCACCTAGGAAGACATGCACGTGTTCCGGGTTTCGTTAGAAAACCAAGTAACGTTGGTTTTAGACAAAGCAAGGTGGAACAAAAATACGAAATGGAACTGAAATGCGGTGTGGTCCCATCCTTCAGCTAGCCATAACTCCTCTTCAAAGCACCAACACCAAAGATAGATTCGACAACCGATCCACCAAAACATCTTTTAACAATTTTTCACTTGTCGATGAGTACTTCCCCACCAACACACCATACAATAAGGTTCTTTCGTCCACTCACCCTAGCGTCCTTAAGTAGACCAAGCAAACTGGCCGACAAAACCCCCTCACTGGTGACAAACGATAGATGCAGATGATGAGCATAGTTACTCGACAAGTCCTCAACCACCGGTACCACAAGTTGGAGCTTCTTCCGTCTCTGTTTAGCCCGTTCCCGTTTTTCCGGTCGTGAATGTACCCAACGTACGAGTTTTCCCTTACTGTTAAGAAAATGATTAAATTTATGAATAATGAACCGCTCCCAATCAAGAAGATCAGATGATTCACAGCGAAACAGAGGAAGCGTCACGTAGTGCTCCGGACCACAGCGTCGAAGCCAATTGTAAAGTGTATGGTTCCTCTCGCCACGTTCGACAACAGTACTATTGCAAGTGCGATAGACATGCTCACACCAGCGAATATCAAGTGCCCAATCAGTCGATCCCACATAGACATGCTTGTGCCAAGCAGACAGTCAGACGTAGACAAGAGGACCTTTGCAACGAAAAAGATCACCATCACCATCGACTATGGACAAAAAATAGGACCGTAATTTTTCAGCCCACGGGATTAAACCACGCAAGATGAGAACCAATACCTGGCAATACGACCACTTGAAAGAAAGAGTTCCACGCCGCATCCTTGAGAGCAGAAGTAGAGGAGGACCTATTAATACGACAAGAATTAGCAAGACCCCACAACGCCGCGTTCCGGAAGTCCCATCAAGCAAAATCCGACGGGACTTCCTCGATCACAGCAACATTATTGTCTCCCGAGGTTGACCTACCGTGATCATGGTCCGGATCCGTCTTGCCATCAGAGTTACTGCTCCCTTCGAACCTTTTCTCAGCATTGAGTTTGGCCAGTTCATCAACAGTAACATCCACCGTTTTATACCTGATCCCAGCTTCCTTGCAGAGAGGCTTTGAGCCTCCCTTCTTAAGTGCCTTGAGCCGCTTCTTCTCGTCTTGCACAAAAGCATGCCTGTCATTAGCCTTTCTGGCACTGTCCTCCCTCGGTATTCTCCCTGGAGTCATCTTCACACGTCCCCGTCTGCCCGTACGGAAGCCAGTTTTTGCAGGTTCATCCATCTTCTCTTTGAGATTCGTCCCTACGACCTCTGGAGTACCCACACCTGTACCATCAGTGGACAGCCTCCCCATCTGCTCCCGTAGTCTCACGAGCTCCGCCTCCGCCTCCATGCATTGTGCCTCAGCTTTGGCACACCTTTCCTTGAGCATATCTACTTCAGTCTGATCACAGCGACGACGTTCATGCAGGTCTTGCACCTCTACACGAAGGCGTCGTGCTTCTTCATCAGGACCAACCCCTAATCGAGAGCGAGTCGCCGTGCGACCCTCGCTCGCTGGCATCGACATATTGACGCTTCCCCGTTTGTTCCCAGGCCGTAGGGCCTCGCTCCTCCACAGTTGAGCGACCTCCTTCGTTTCCTCGTTCCGTTTGCGGAGCAGCTCCATCTTTAACCGCAGCTCGTCAATTTGCTTCGTGAGGTTACTTCTCCCCACTTATTCGTGGTGATCCTTGAGATCCCAGATCTCCCATTTGAGTGTCGCCATATCGTTTTCCAATCGAGTCTTCAAGTCATCCCCCGCTTTCTTTAGATCGTTATTCTCCTTCTGCGGACGATCGATGAGGTTCGAAGATGGCAGCAGCTCAGTGATGCCGTACTTGGCACTTGTATCCTCATTCTCCCGTCACAGACGAGCCAATTCCTCGTCACCCGAGCCGTTGTTGGTCTTGTTGACTCCCTTACCCATAATAGCATCCTACATGGGAGCAAGCCTGCTCGCCAATCTTTGCCCCATTTGACACTCGAAATCCTCAAGTTCCTTCTTGACCCTAACCGCCTCCTCTTTTTCTCGCTGCTTCTTCAAACGTTCTTCAGTCGCCCGTCCATCCCTCTCCTTCTGCTCGGTTCGACTGACGAAGGCGTTACACTTATCCAATATTTGTTGATTCCGAGTCCACCACCCTGTACGAGTTTGCACCGAATAAGTACTCGCAAAGGTTGACTGTGACCCAGCAGCAGTACTCGAATTAGCAGTAGGCAGTGCTAAGAGCGGCTCCGCATTGGTCTTCGTTGCCACGGGCGGCCTATGATTATTGCTCCTCGGATGAGGATATTCTCACGACCAATGACCCACTTGACCACAGCGGAAGCAACCATCACGTGGTGGTGCCGCCATGATCATAAACCAAAAAGAGAACTAATAAGGAAGATAATAAGAGAGAAGATAGAGAGAAAAAAACAAAAAAAAAGGAAAGAGAGAGGAAAAAAAAGGAAAGAGAGAGCCCACGTTGACAATCGACGTACTCGGTCAGCGCAGCGACACGACCGTAATACAATCCTTACGGTGGTTACGGCGCGAAAAGTTGATAAGGACAAGTCCACAACAACAACAAAAATGCGTTACGTAAGCAAAAGGAGAAGAAGACAAAATGAGGAAGAAGAGAGAAGAGAAGGAAGACAAAGAACAAGAAAACAGAGGGGAAAGCACATAGTCCCGAAATCCCGAAACGCGACCAATAGGCCTAAAAATTGATTATAAAGCACCGCCACAACATCGAAAAGTAAGCATTGCGTAGTATGGCGGAGCGACCCGACGAGGGGTTTCGTCCGGCCGCCAACCGGAACTCGTCAGGGGTCTGAATAGTTACAAGGAATAGGGACCGAACGAATAGGCGAGAACAACTTAAGTACTACCGTGAGACTATCGACGTTACCAAGAAGGAATTCACCACCAGCGGACAAAGAGCCAAGGTCAGAACGAACAGGAAACATACACAGGCTAAGACAAAGAGCCCAAGTACAGATTGGAGATGTCGCGGCAAACTTCCAGCCCTAAAATCCCGAAGTTTCACGACCCTTCTTACCCAAGCAAAGGCAAGGTCGTGCTCCAAGTACAGATTGGAGATGCCGCGGCCAACTTCCATTAGGTTTGACCTGGAGCATTGTTACACGGTCACAGGTAAGGTTGTGCTCAGGCAAGTGATTGACATCCCAATGGGAAAATCGTCGAGTCCACCATTGGCATGCATGATGTGTGTCCAAGGGGAATGGGACTTTCTGACGACATTAGGAAATCAACGGAGATAGTACGTAGCTGGTCTACATTTCGTTGATGATGTGTCATGTTTCGTGGCTTACAATGCAAAGAGGAGGGATGGAAAGAAAAAGGCATGTGAAATTCTGAGAAGTTATGAAAATTGCTATGATCAATTTGATCAGGCCCTGACATTGAAAAGGACAGATAATGACGAGAGAACGTGGGAATTCCTCGGCTGTGAGCTGACTGTGAGGGATAGCTACCCATATGTGGGATGTTACCAGGCCGTGAAGAATGAGTCAGATTTGGTGAATGGGAGTAGTTTGACCTTTAGTTCTTTCCATGATTTCAGGTCATGGCCCTGCAAAAGAGCGAAGCTAGCAGTTATTGTTAGTGCGCTGCATCAGATTGAAGCAAACTCCTTTCCGGGTTCAGGCATGATTAGAGCAGTGGTCATGGTGAGAATGGAACTATGTCGAAGGGACTACCCGAGTCATTATTTTGACTGGGCCATGAGGAACTTCTCCCGCGATAAGGGGAACACTCAGAAGATGATTGCTGAATTGTTGAGAGGGGATACAGGCGTAGGAGAAGATGAATGAATGGTGGATAAGAATTGTAGTATGGATTGGTTTGGTATGTAGAAACCAGAGTGATGCCCGCGGCATGAAGCATAGATGTAGTGCTGGATCGGGACTCGATCCCGTGACCGTTTTCTCGGTCTGTGGTTTGCGTATTGTTTTGTTTTGTCTCGTCTGTTTCATTTTTTTTTTTTTTGTTTTGGACCCGGGAGTGCCGGGGGGCACAGAGGCTGTAGAGGCCCGTTCCCGCGCGGATTTTGAGTCTATGCAGTCCCAATTTAATTCAGTAAGTGCAGCGAGTGCAGTCAAAAGTGGTAGGGTCCAATCCCGTGGTCTGTGGCATATTGTCAGGACGTGACCGAAGGGGGAGTCTACTGCCACTGCTCAATGGATGTAGACTCGGATCCCGTGCACGTTAGTAGGTACCCAAGTGTGAAGCGGCAGTGGTGACAAGTTTGAAAATGTGCTTAGTTGGCCAGCACCAAACGGACAGGGTTATGACGATGAGACGGGGGTTAAAATCCTGACATTGAGTCGGGTTTAGTCCTCTTGACATTGGTTCGTGGGACGGGCGCCTGCGCACAATCGTACGACCGGATGCCGACACGGTTTGTTCGACGGAAGGATAGACGGTACTTGGGAGCGTGGAGCGATGGTGGCATGTTGAGTTTTGAGAGCATGGTCTCTCTGAATGTTAACTAAGTTAATACTTCATACACCTGTTTTTCCAAACGTTTCTTATGCTTGTGTATGTGTTGATATGTTTGCTTCCTTGAGGTCGGGAATTTTTATTTTTTTCTCTTTAACCCGGAAACAAATCGTTACCTGTTGGGGCTTAGCCCCAGCATACATTCATGAGCAATGCCCAACAACTCTACTTGCTTACTGCTGACAGAAGGTTAACCGACCCCCCAATTTTCACCCCTTACTGCTTTGATTCTTGATATCCACCCCCTAACCTAGTCAGCTGTGGCCTGAGACACTTAAGAATCAGTTGTATATGGATAATCTTTTGCGAGGTGGCTTGAACACTGAATTCGTGAAATCCTAACAAAACCACAAAACCTAACATTTTTTATAGAATGAAAAAGTAAAAGTCAGACTGTTATTTTTGACACATAAAAGAGAACATTTCTAACTGTTTTTCGAGAAAAGAGGTAAAAAAATAGGCAAAAACTCTAGCGATTCTCAAAATGTGCAAGAACTTTTTTTCCAGCAAAGAGCATGTTATAAGAGTATATGTCGTTCTTAGTAGATTGACAAAAAACATTGCTCAAACAAGACAATATTAAGGATTGCAAGGCGACCTCGAAAGATGTTAAAAAAAAACAATTTGAGTGAATACTCATTTATAGAACTATAAATCGTTTTCAACAGTTCGATAAAAAACAGACTCTGCGAAATCGAGTTTATAGATAACTCCATTTTTAAGTTAACTATAAAACCCTTTTCAAGAAATATATGTTATGTAAAAGAAGAATTCAAACAACTTTTGCTTCGGAGACATCTTAAAATTCTTAGCCAACCACAATTTAAAATAAAAAAATAGAAAATTATTTAATAAAAAACACAAAAAAACAATGTATTCGTCCATGTATGAGAGAACATATCCAAGCGAATGAACAGGAGAGAATGTGTGCGTGTTTAAGAAACCCCCGAAAAGGTTCACCGTGCTACCTACATTATAAAACTATAAATATGATTTTTTTAGATAAGCAAAAAAATGGGATATTTTGGTTCCTGAATAAATAATGATTTGCAAGGTAGTGATTTCTTGTGAAAAACCTTGCTTCTCACCTCATCATTTCTAGTGGTTCTCAAAAAAAACTTTTCTATTCCTTTTTTGCAGTTAATTTACTTCACATAAAATTTTGTTCATGTAGGAAGCCTAAAAAATGTACTATCAGAATCTTTAAAAATTTTCATGCAAACCTAACAATTTTTTTTGTTAGGTTTTCACGAATCCTATGTGCTGGCTGATTGCAGTTGTAACATCGCATGGCGGAGAGGTCCCGGCTAAGGCTGGTCGTGGCATAGCGGTCCCAGGCTCCCAGCCGCCATGGCCACTTGTTGCCTCTTAGCCACTGCAGCCCTTTGACAAACTTCATTAAGGGCGCCACGACCGTAACGCATTGTGCGATTACCTCCTTCATCGTTATTTCTTCTACGTCCGGCACTCCTTGTGCCTGTAAAAGGTGTCTGGAGGCCGAGGAGGAGGACGGTGCTCTTCGGTCCGTATTTTTCTTGGCCGGCCCCAATCCGAAGCGATCTTCGAACATCCGAGCCGTAGAGGACTAGCTATTGCGTCGGACACCGGATGGGTCATCCTCGTCTGATTTTGAATCCAAGCCTACATTATAGTTCTCCTTTTCGTACTGGATAGCATATTGAATTAGCTCGGTCAAGGTGTGTTGAATCGGGATACAACCGTTACATTTTTTACATATCTTTTTTCGCGAGCGGGAGTCGGATAATCCCCTCACGAAATCCGTTTGTACCATCTTCTCGTCAACCCGGGAGCGTTCAGCTAGGTAGGTGAATCGCTCCGCGTATCTAGCCAGGGTCTCCCGGGGCTGCTGCGTCTATTCTTTGATCAGGCCCAAACATTGCCTCGACGCGATGTGATCAAATCGTTCAAGGAAAATTCTTTGGAAGGTCGGTCAATTGGTATAAAGGTTTCGTCCATACCATTCAAACTTGATTCCAGCTTACCTTCCAGGAATCTGTTCCCGAAACAACTGGTTTGTCCAACCTTGGGCCTTCAAGGCAGCCAACCAAGTACGTGGGTCTGTTTCATCTTTGGAGAAGATGGGAACCTTCAAAGGGGGAGGGACGAGGTACAAGGGGTGGTTGGCCATCTCCGCATGATTATCCATCCCTTGACCCGGTTTGACCATGGTTCGAGGTTGATTTCGAACCCGCCCCTTTGCTTGGTTTTGATTGTTGTTGGCCGAGTGGTGGCGCCTGGGTGCCAGCCTATCTCAAAATAAACAAACATCTCCAAAAACAAATTAAAAAAATAACAATAAAATTTACGTTCGTCCCAAGGAAACCT